TATATATGAAAAATATATAAAAAATGCATGTGGGTACTCAAATGAAAGCTCTCAATGAGTATAACATCAAGATGAGCTTATATCTATAAAAATCTCAATATTCTTCAAGATACAAGGTAGTTTCTTAATTATTGACATTTTTAAAGATATAAGCTCATTCTGACGTTACACTCATCAAGAGCTTTCATTTGAATACCCACATGCATTTTCATATATTTTTCATATATACATATATATATAATATATATAAATATATGAAAAATGCATGTGGGTATTCAAATGAAAGGTCTTGATGAGTGTAACATCAAGGTGAGCTTATATCACTAAAAATCTCAATATTTCTCAAGATACAAGGTAATTTCTTAATTATGCAAAAAACTTACCATAACAAGATTAACCAGCGACACAGCATTAAGCGTAATATGCCACCAGTACATCAGTCCCCCAATATTAACCAAAATCATGGTAATAGTAATAATCACCACAATCGACGAGAAGATATCCAAGCCCATGAGGAAGAAAGTGACAATAAAAATAGCCACTAGCGAAATTCCTATACTCTTAAGAGTGTCCGGCCACATGGTCAAGTACTGTTCATAGAAGACATAGAAAACACTGTAGGGAAAAACTTGCACCGTTTCATTTCTATTCTGTCTCTTAAGGTTGCTGTTAAGCATGTTGGTAATATTAGCAGAAATCTTCCTCGCGGCTTTCATGGACTCGTAATAATCCTCCGAAGTTTTAAGAATAGAGTGATAAGCCATGAAGTAAGAAGCCCGGACACTGGACAAGTTAGTCTGCTTGTTGGTCAAGTAATTGACCCCTTGACCATAAGCAGCGTGTCCAGCTTTGGCGCATTGCTCATCGGGATTGTCTTCTAGGAAAAACGAGACGTATTTTTCAAATTCTCTCGGAGGAGGTCGGTCGTATTTATTGGAGGAAATGTCGCAGCTGGTGCAGCCTTTGCGACCTTGATGCGGACAAAATGAGTCATTAGACTTGAAGACCTTGCAGCAGTCCGGAGCTTGGGACCAGTCGATATAATCATCAAGCCAGGAGGACGCGGGGGTGGCTATGTAGCTGATGTTGGGCTGCTGAGCTGCGATGAAGATCTGCGTCGAGACTGAGTCAGAGTTGCAGTACTTCCCGCCGCAGACTAAATTCTGGTCAAACGTGTTCGAGTAATTTAACCCTCCGGTCACTACAAAGTACATTGGTGGTCCAATTGATAAGTAGCTGTTCAGATACTTGAAGTATTTTAAGACAAAACTATCCTCTGGCATGGATAATTCTTGGTCCAGTCCGATTTCTATGTGCGGGACTACTGCGATGCTGGTACACAGCCATCCGAAGAATATTACCATTATTCCAGCGCGGACCCACTTTTGGAGTAATAATGGGACGTAGAGGATCTTGAAGATCTTGTAGAGGATGCCGTCGACTACTTCCTCGGAGGTGTCTTTCTTTGAACCCCGGAACCAGCAGCAGATGTCGAATCTGTTGCTGCTTTGACGCACTGTGTCGAGGGTTAGCAGACTTACGAAGCAGGTTATTTGGAGCAGGAAGTCTATCATTAGAGCCATACCTGAAAAATAATGATGTTTTTTTTAGATATAAGCTCATATTGGTGTTAAGCTAATCAAGAGCTTTCATTTGAGTACCCACATGCATTTTTTATATATTTTTCATATATTCATATATATATATATATAAATATATATAAAATATATGAAAATTGATGTGGGTATTCAAATGAAAGGTCTCAATGAGTGTAATGTCGGGATGAGCTTAGATTTTTAAGAATGTCAATAGTTCACAAGATACAAGGTCATTTCTTAATTATTGACATTTTTAAAGATATAAGCTCATCTTGGTATTAAGCTCGTCAAGAGCTTTCATTTGAGTACCCACTTGCATTTTTTATATATCTATATATATTACATATATTTACATATATATAATACATATAAATATATGAAAAAATTAATGTGGGTACTCAAATGAAAGGTCTCGATGAGTGTAACATCAGGGTGAGCTTATATCTTTAAAAATATCAATTTATATCTGAAAAAATGTCAAAATTTAAAGTATTGATTTTTTTATTAAAAAAATATCAAAATTCTTTTTAATAAATTTTTTTTGTGATTATTCTTAAGAAAAATGATTCAAATATTAAATTTTAATTGTTATTTTTCAACATTAATACTCAAAGATAAATGATAAAACCCATTTTAGTATAGTTTTCATATATACATATATATAAAATATATATTTCAAAAAAATAAGCTCATTTTGACATTACACTCATCAAGAGCTTTCATTTGAGTACCCACATGCATTTTTGATATATTTTTCATATATTCCTATATATAATTTATATAAATATATGAAAAATTGATGTGGGTACTCAAATGAAAGCTCTCAACGAGCATAACCTCAAGATGGTCTTATATCTTAAAAAATCTCAATATTTCGCAAGAAACAATGTAATTTCTTAATAAAAATAGAATTGTCATTAATTAAACTTTTTTTTCATTAAATAATGAATTTTATTAAATTGCACTATACATTCCTAAATATTGACTTTTTCAATAATATAAGCTCATCCTGATATTACACTCATCGAGAGCTTTTATTTGAGTACCTACATGAATTTTCATATATATCTATATATATATATATATGTATATATCAAAAATGCATGTAGGTACTCAAATGAAAGCTCTCAACGACCCCAACCTCAAGATGAGCTTATACCTCCAAAAATCTCAAAATTTCCCCAGATCCAATATAATTTCATATTAACATACCTGCATACAACGCAAAAGCTCTCACAGCAGGCATATCAGAAAGTCCTCCCAAAAAGAAGCAGCAGCTCTCCGAGACACTCGTAAGCAGCATACTAGGTCCCACTTGCCCCAAAGTACGTCCTATGTGCTCCGGAATTGACTCATTTGGCCTCCGTCCCTCTCTCTGATGAGTCTGCACCAGTATGAACACATTATCCACCCCCACCGCGAGTACCAAGAAGGGAATAACCTCGATGATAATAAGCGTCGCGGGCAGCCCGATGAACCCAAAGAGTCCCACGGAGCATACCACAGAGGCCAGGACAATGAAGACACCTCCCAGTCCCAGGGTGATCTTGGAGTCGATCATCAATCTGTTGCAGGACCTCATTTGTCCGAGAGATATCGCAATGTACGCGAACATAATTATGTAAGACACTAAAATTGTTGAAATGTCTGACTGAGATTCTCTCTTAAGCTCGTCTTCAATTGACCTCTCAGAGGTGAAGGCCAGGTCAATGAACTCTGGTTTCTTAGCGGGGTCACTGACATAGTCCTTCATGAAATTGACAAAAGCCTCCTCCCACTCCATAGCGGGGATTAATTTTGTTTTATTATGATAATTATTAACGAGGATTGTCACCACTAGAGCGGTAGCTTTTTCGTAGGAGGGATTGCGGAGGGACTGGCCTGGAGGTAAAAATCCTCCCAGGACAACTGGAGGCAAAGCTGGACCTCCATATAAAGCTAAACATTCGGGGTTGTAAGGATTGCCAACACACTTCTTAAAATGATCTAAGTAAGTGATATTAAACCCAGCTTCTTCGGAGGTGCTGTTAAAATCTTCAACGCTGTCCTTCCAGTAGCCCCAGATACTTTGAATAGTACACTTGTCCACCGTGGGAGGGCCAGTGAACGCGTTGGTCAGCGGAGCGAAGCAGATATCTGCTAGAGTGTAATTATTTTCAGTACTGATGTTTTTTATCGCTTCTTGGAGGGAGTGGACAGCTAGGAGGAAGTTCGGGTTGAAGACTGGCCCGAAGGTTATGGGCCCATTGCTGGTGTTGTGGACGATGTTCGGGAGGTTCACTGGAGTGATTATCAGCTGCTCGATGCGGTAGAAGGGCTCGAAGTGGCTGTCGAAGAAGGTTCGCTCTACTCGGGAGCGAGATAATGGAGATGCCCAGAGTTCTACGGGGTCTGTTGTCATCTGCATGTAGTTTATGCCCGTGCCAAGGGCTATGACGGTGAGGAAGCCGCAGAAGAGGACGGTCCATGGGTGCTTGGCGCAAACTGAAAGAAAGTTTTTTATAAGCTCATCTTGACATTACACTCATCAAGAGCTTTTATTTGAGTACCCACATTTATTTTTTATATATTTTTGATATTTACACATATATATTATATATATAAATATATGAAATATATGAAAAAGTGATGTGGGTAGTCAAATTAAAGGTCTTGATAAGTATAATGTCAAAATGAGCTTATAACTTTAAAAACCTCAATATTTGACAAGATACAAGGTAATTATTGATAGGTAATTGTCTTAATTATTGATATTTTTTAAGATATAAGCTCATCTAGATGTTAGGCTCATCAAAAGCTTTTATTTGAGTACCTACATGCATTTTTGATATATTTTTCATATATTCATATATATATATATAATATATATAAATATATAAAATATATGAAAAATTGATGTGGGTACTCAAATGAAAGCTCTCGATGCCTATAACATCAGGATGAGCTTATATCTTTAAAAATTTCAATAGTTCTCCAGATACAAGGTCATTACTTAATTATGGATCTAAAAAAAAATTTACCAGTTCCCCAAAAGCAGAAAAATTCTTGCAAAAATTTGTCAGTGTTAGCACCGAGGCGCTCTATTACAGTAGATTGTTCATCCTCGAATCCTCCTGGCAAATCATCAGCAGACACTACACCTAAAAATATATAAATTTTAGTAAAAGGAAAAAATTTTCGAGTTATAAAACAAATACATGAGAATAATTTATAATTTATGATTTATATGACAAATCATAAAGCTAACACTGTTACATAAAGCCTAGACAAACAAAAAAAAATTACATACATAATAAAATTTTATGTGAACAAAAAATAAATGTGCAGGAAAAAAATAAAATAATCAGTGAACAGAAATGAGCGGAAGAATTACAAGCAATAAATAATTATATGACAAAAAATTTAAGTAGCGGCATGCGAAAATTAATAGTGAAGCAATGATTTTTTTATGAGCTCTTATTTAAATTTAAATTATATAATAAGTAATAACGATAAAGACAAATAGATTGATAGATATAAGATGGGCATAAATATATGTTTATAAATAATAATTTAATAGAAGACAGTAGAACAAATTATGCTATTAAAGATGAAATTAAAATAGTCACGGAAGTAAAAAAACGTACTGGAACGCTTAGATTGTAGTGGGCTGTCTTCTTGATCAGCTGCTAAAGCAATTCGTGCAACATCTCCTGGATGATGAAGCCCGGCAGCTAGACGTCTACCAACCTGTCTCCCTACTTCTTCTCCTCGAGCAACTGAATGCAATAATTTATCGCGGAGTAAATAACCGGGTCATAAATTAATTTATTATTTTTTATATCGGTCGATTTTTTTTAAATAAATAAATTTTAAGTCGTTAATTTTTTTTTTTTTTTTCATGTCTAACAGCTGTAATGAATAAATTATTGAGCTGAAGAAATTTTATTATTTTAGTAAAAAATTTTATTAATGATAAAATTGTTTATAAAAAATGATGGAAATTTTTTGTGCAAAATATTTTTTTTTTTAAATTAAACAAGCCTAGTTTTGTTATTAAGTCATTAGTGAATTTCTTTGATGATAATTAAATAAAATATAAATGAATTAAGCAATTTATTTATATAGTTTACTGATAGAAGGATTTGTTTATATTTTATAAGCTTTATTAACTGTTATAAATGAAATTTTAGTTTAGTAAATAATGACTTTTGTTTAATTTCACTGTACTTTCTTGAATATTGACATTTTTAAAGATATAAGCTCATTTTGGTGTTAGGCTCATCGAGAGCTTTCGTTTGAGTACCCACATCAATTTTTCATATATTTTTATATATATTATATATGTATATATGAAAAATATATCAAAAATGCATGTGGGTACTCAAATGAAAGATCTTGATGAGTGTAACGTCAAGATGAGTTTATATCTTTAAAAATGTCAATTATATATATGTAAATATGAAAAATATATGAAAGTTCTTAAAAATTGGAGTTTTTAAAGATATAAGCTCATCTTGATGTTACACTCATCAGGAGCTTTCATCTGACTACCCACATGCATTTTTAATATATTTTTAATATATATAAATATATGAAAAATTGATGTGGGTACTCAAATG